TTAAGACTCTCAGTTCCTTTATTGTGTACGTTTCTTTTAATTCTAATTTTTTTTCTCTCGTGTCCAGAATGACGTGAGTGACATTCCTGACCTGACGTTTAGCATGGATGCGGATGAAGAAAAGCATATCCTTTATGAGAAAAACCAGGTGTTTGAATGTCAACTTCTGATTTATATGTAACTTTTTATTTCTGTTTTTTCTTTTTGAAAGCTTATGGTTTTTCACGTAGTGTTATTATAGTCTTCCTTAGATGCTATCAGAGTTTCATTCAGTGCTATAACATTAAATTGAGCTCATGGGTTTGACTAATGTTGTACTTGTTTGTTGTGTTGTCCCTTCTTTCTTCCTTCTTGAAAAGGTTACTGATTATGAGCTGAAACCTGGAGGAAGAAATATTCGGGTTACAGAAGAAACGAAGCACGAGTACGTTGACCTTGTAGCTGAACATATCTTGACAAATGCTATCCGTCCTCAAATTACTTCCTTCATGGATGGGTTTAAGGAATTGGTCCCGAGAGAGCTTATCTCTATTTTCAATGACAAGGAGCTTGAGCTACTCATCAGTGGTCTTCCAGAGATTGATTGTGAGTTGCATTTTAAATGAGCTTATAATTTAATAGATATGATATTTTGCTTCTGTTGTGGTATCTGAATGGTAACATTGTCGTTGCAGTGGCTGATTTGAAGGCCAACACCGAGTACACTGGCTACACATCAGCATCTGATGTTGTTAAATGGTTCTGGGACGTGGTTGAAAGTTTCGACAAGGAGGACATGGCGAGACTGCTGCAATTTGTGACTGGAACATCAAAGGTAACTGTTTGTACTACAAAAGAAATATGAAATAGTGTATATACTTCTCCATATCTGCTGGTTCACTACTAAAAGGGATATTATATGGGCTTTTGTACTTTCTGATAATGTACGACCCCCCTTTTCCCTTGGCCGATCCCCTTTTTCCAACAAACCAACCCTGCCCTTTATAATGTTCATAACATTTTTCACAAGTTCCGTTGAAAGGGTGACTTGCATTGTTTTTACCCTGTGCATTTAACCTTGATATCAGTTGTCTATAGACTCCATAGATCATTTTCATTTCCTGTGAACATGGTTTTTGACAATGCGCATATTGTCTCATTGAAATTTGCCATTGTATAATGATTGGAAATGGCTTGTGTAGCTGATGATTTAAATGTTTGCGATTTTCAGGTTCCATTGGAAGGTTTCAGGGCGTTGCAAGGTATATCTGGTGCTCAGAAATTTCAGATTCACAAGGCTTATGGAGCTCCTGACAGGCTGCCCTCCGCTCATACATGGTTAGTGTAAACATAATTTGCTTTGGTTCCGTCTTACCTTACAAAAAATGTTCATTTCTTTGTCCCCGTCACATTCTCGTCAAGCTCGATGTGTCTAATGTGTTCCTATGTCTTTTCCAGCTTTAACCAGCTAGACCTTCCCGAGTACACCACCAAAGAACAGCTTCATGAACGATTGTTACTTGCTATTCATGAAGCTAGTGAAGGATTTGGCTTTGGTTGACAGAAAAGAATCTCAGCAGATATTGTTTCCTCAGCGTTCCAGTCATCGGTGGTATAGTTAGCATGTACATGTCAGTTCGACATCCTTTTTCTTTCCTTGTTTCGAATCCCTTTGCTAATCTTTTCCAAAATCAACTCAATTTAATTTGTGATTTTCACTCTAATTCTCCCCCATTCTTCGCGCAGATGAAAGAACCGGTTCTGAATTTTAGCTTCCAGAATTACAGCAACTTTTGGAGAAATCGAATGATGGATTTTGTAAAGAATTCCGAAACCATTATCTTACCGGAGGCCGGTAAGCTCCTCGGTGACAATGGATTGAAATTGTAGAAATTCTTTTGCGGATTCTTAACGTGTCGGATAATTGGGAGTCGGTACAGATGGATGTGGATGGAAAATCTGTTCTTTTTGGTGTTTATATTAGATCTCTATTTAGATTAGTCAGTTTTCTTCACTTTCTTTGACCTGAATGTTTGGTAATAAGCCTAGGAATATGTATATGTAATTCCAGATGGTTTCTTTTGGATTTTAATTTATTTGAAGGCGAGAAGGTGATTCCAATTTTGCGCTCAGTTTTATTTGTGCAAATGAACATGCCCTCTAGCCCGTCGTTTGCGGGAGAAATTTACTTGACGGTGGCATTATCCCAAGCCAATCTGCTTTTGACGTTTGCTATTGGCAATGCATGCGTGATTGGTTTAGGATACTGCAACAATGTCATCTCTTGCCTCAAAGTCGTTCTAATGATTAGTCGGGTTTGTAACCATTTTTCAACAATGCAATATGCAAATGGGACGATATCATGGCCTAACTGGTCTCACTCGCTACACCATCCACTCTGTTTTAAGCCTTTTTGCCAATATTATCCGTAATTTTCGTTGATTTTTGTAGGAAATTCAAGTTATCTACTTAAAATGCTTGATTTTCCATTGATATTTGATTTGAAATAGAGAGTAAAGGAGGGTTGAGAGAAGAAGGATAACACAATGTTTTAGGTAACGTTTGACAGAAAACTAGAAAGTGATTATGGATTATAAAATCGCTTTTTAGTACTTTTGGGAGAGTACTTCTAAATACTTTTTCATAAGAACTTGTATTTTTCATGAAGAAAATGGAAGAAGTATTTTTCATTAAGAAAATAACTCGTTCTCTCCTCTACTCTTCCACACCCCCTCTCTTTCTAGACTTGGAATTGAACAAATCAAATCATAAAAGAGATGATGAGAGATTTTTTCTAAAGTGGGTTTTTTTATACTCTCTGTCACCATACATTTTAACATTAATTTTTGTGTCAACATATAAATATTGTAGAAAAAACATAAAGTGCCAAATAGTTCATGAAAAGTTTCACTTTAAGGGAGTCTTGTAACATTTCTTATCAGATCATAACCAATGAAGAAAAAACAATTAGAAGAGCAAAAAGAATAATTGGGGAGTGGGAAAATTGCTATTTGAAAAATAATTTTGTCATATTTTAACAAAGGCCCAACTAGCTCATAAAAAATCTCTTACAACTTTTAAAAATAACAATTTAATTAAATAAGAGCAAATTCGTAAAGTAATTAGAAATGAAAAAGAATTGTGGAAAAGAATGACGTAGAAGTTGTCGCTTCTTCTTTTTGAGTGTTTTGAAATATTAATTACTGATTTTTTTTTTTTGGTATAAAAAAATATAAAAAAATTAATTATCACTCGTCTTAGCAGGTGGCGAGAGGTTAATAGATTATAATGAAGGGAAAAAAAATTTAAAAACTTGCAGGTAAAGTAGTTTAAAATATAAACTTGCATGTCCTTACTCTTTTCATCTTTCTCTCTCCTCTCTTTTTAACATTTCTTTTATATCGGACGAGGATTCTGTAGTTTCGAGTTTCGACATCGCTCGTACTCGGGATTTTCTACCCTGTGATGAATATCCCAAATGTATTGCTTGTACTTTTGAGTTTCAGACATCTATTGTACCAGGGATCTGCTGCTTTGTTCATCCTAAATGTATTGCTTCTACTTTTGAGTTTCGAATAGAGGTTGGCATGCCCCGATTAGATTAGTTATACACCAAAACCGCAATCAAACCAATTACAATAATATCGACTTGGTCCTTTTAGCAATTTATGTTTCAACAAACCACTTTCAAGAGCGTCCAAAGTAAGTTGAAAATAATTGACTCAAAATTGACTGTGATGTATTGATTCGATCATATATTCAAAATATAATGACGTATCACTTTTATATTGACAACATAACGATGAAATATCGATTGCTAATTGAACATGGATTGTTTTAGCAATTGAAATGGGTAAATTTGATTTTTTTCTGTTCATTTCTTAAAAAAAAAAAAATAATAATAAATCCATAAGCTTCCACTCAATTTTCCCTTTCTAAGACAATATAATTTAGTAACTTAAAAATTCTCTCAAACTTCAAATCTAACATCTTCAGTTATTTTAGGGCTTCTTCTTTCAGCCACTGCCTCTCAACCTCAAAGATTCTCCTATTTTTCTAGTCTAAATTAAAATAATAATATCGATTGTATAAGAAGAAAAAGTTGTCAACGTAATTCTTTTTAAGCCAGTTCAAACGAATCAATTGGTTTGGACAATTTGGTGGATTGTCGTTCACCTCCAATTATCACAATGTATTAGTCTTTTGGGTCGAAAACTTTTATGAAAGTCTTACGAGACAAAGAGAAGAGCATAACTTAGATGAATTGGATACACCGCTACGATGACGTTCTGATTTATTAACACAATGTTATATAAAGTAAAATTAATTTATGTACAGCTCGTTCTGTTGCTATACTGAGACGCCATATTGATAGTTTGCCGATCCATCTAAGTTGCTCTCCAAAATGAGGTGTCAATTATAAATTAGTTATAGCCCCCAAAATGAAATCAATAAACCCTGTTTAAACCCGAGATGAAGCTTTTTAAATTTAATATGCAACGGCCATATAAATGGAGTCCTGAACCATTAGGGTTTTTGCCGATGCCTTTCTCTCACCACAATAACAATTACCGACAGAAATCGATGCCATAGAACCTTGAAAGCGTCCGCCAACGGAGCACAACAACGTGACTCGCTCCTCGGCTCCATTTTTCTGCTCATCGAATTTTGTGAGTTCCTGAATTTTTTTTTCATTTAAAATTTTCCTTTTTGGGGGGTTTTTAAGATAATTTATCCTGTAAAAATGGAGGATTTGGATTTAGTTTTAGTTTTTTCAGATGGGTTTTGATTTTTCTCGTATATAGAGTGGAGATGTTTGGTTTCATCTGCAATTTTTTTAGTTTTTGATATGAATGTTGCTCTGCTGTTAAAACAGTTGCTTCGATGAGATGGAAATTGCTCTGATATTAAATTATCTTAATAATTTGTCCTATAACAATTGAGGATTTGGATTTAGTGTTCGTTTTTTCAGATGGGTTTTTTATTTTTTTGATATGAATGTTGCTCTGCTGTTAAAACAGTTGCTTTGATCAGATGGAAATTGCAGCCTGGGAATTCAAAGTTTGAAGCAATGGCTCACAATTTTCCTGACGAAATCATACATGATATCCTGTTTAGATTACCTCCTAAATCATTGATCAGATGCACCTCAGTGTGCAAGCCATGGAACTCCATGATCAAAAATCCCAGTTTTATACGCACCCACCTCAGCCGTACAATCGATCCTAATAACCAGTTTGACACCCATCTCCTCCTTCTGTACTTGTTTATGCCTTATTGATGTTTGACCTTCGGTTTCTTCGTTAAATTGATGACTTGACAACCACGAGACCTGTTTATGGATCGATGTGGAAGTAATTTGCACCACATGGACCAAAAATAGTCATTACGAATCTTCAAGTTCTCTCGGAACGGCAAACGGTTGCACACTTTGGTCACAATGGTCCAAGTGTGGCTATGCAAAGCATTCTGTCAAAATCGAGGGTTTCTTGAGAAGCAATGCTGATCATTATGTGTTCGTAAAAAGGAGAAAAGAGGAAACTACTGTTCTCCTAGTGTACTCAGTTTAAAACTCTAAATGAACTAAATTTATATATTAGTAAGAACTACAGCTAGTAAGCATGTTGAGTAATACAGTTATTATTAAGTAGAGCGAGCTTTTGCTAATACCAATCAAAACACAAAGCTAAGGTCAAAATTCGCATAGAGATGATAGACGTTTACATCTGCTTGACCATCAATCTACTGGAGGCCTAGAAGGTTTAATAGACGATAAAATTAAATTGATAGGATTTCAAAACCTTGGTGTGCAAAAAATTAAAAGTTTGTGACCTGTTTTAAAAATCACCATAAATATGAAGGGTGTAATTAGCCCTAAAGTTTTGATTAATTATCTTCTCCAAGAATTACCTTTCTTGTGCTTATCCATAAAGCTAAACAAATGTTTTTTTTAGTACAACAATATCACTAAGGGGAGGGGAGAGTTTGGCCAAGCCACATAATGGGCAACCTAATTTGGTATTGAATTCGCAACATGAGATTAAATTAGTCCCTAATCAGTATAATTGTTGTAAACTTCTTGTTTAAGTGTAATTGTATAAATCCTATATTATATTTGATTCTAATTATCCTTTCCTATATGGACTTGTATTCCTTTGGGATGAAGGATTTCTTCCATCTTATTACTACAAATAAAGGCACTGCGCAGGAGATAACACACACATTCCTCTACACAACCCTACAAACACATCTATTTTCCCTCCTGGCCGGCCGGCCCCCTCTCCTTGTCAATTAAATATAGGCCACAACAATAATAATGTTTTAAAAAACAATATTACTTAATATTTAACGTAACATTTAAGCAAGAAAGAGTAACAAAAGAAGGGATGTCCTCGTTAGAATGCGACTCTGGTACTTTTACTTGAGGAGAGGTAATAATTTCAAAAGCGAACCTATAAATAGATGATGCATGAAGCTCATCCAACGCAATCAAACCCTAGCATCCAACACGCTTTCTTCTCTAACGCAACACAAGAGCGAGACTCCGTTTTCTCAACTCCAATTTTTGGCTCATCGATCAAATCTTGTGAGTTCTTAATATCTTTTATCGTCGTCTTCTTTTTCGAGAGCAGGATTTTGTTTGTTCTCTTCTGTTTTAGTTTTTGTTATAGCAACAGTTCCCCTGAATTTTAGTTTCTTCTTCTCAATTATATAGCTAGGTTATTGTTTGTAATTATATATATTTCCTCACTCACTCGATCTCTATCGAATCTGCAGCCTGGGAATTCAAATTTTGAAACAATGGCTGACAATTTGCCTGAGCAAATCATGCAAGATATACTATATAGACTACCGCTGAAATCTTTTGATCCTATGCACCTCGGTGTGCAAGCCATGGAACTCCATGATAAAAAATCCGAGCTTTATACGCACCCACCTCAACCGTACAATCGATCTTAACAACCAGTTTGGCACCCACCTCCTCCTTGTGTGCTGTACTCGTATAGATAAACAGTCTGGATTCTGCCATGGTGACCTTGAGTTATTGGAGCATTGCAATTTGCATTATGATAACCTTGCTTTTGATGAGTACTGCAAACTAGAATTTCCAATTGTTCCCAAGGAAGAAGCGGGCAATAAAGTTTTAAAGGTGGTCGGCGTTTGTAATGGGCTGGTGCTTCTTACGGATTGTATATATTTTTCAGGTAACACCGTCATGTTATGCAACCCGTCTACGAGAAAGTCAGTGACCCTTCCCAAGCCTCATTATACCTTCAAAGGAGTTCGCGGTTATTATGATTGTATTGGTTTTGGTTTTGACCCTGTGACTACTGACTATAAGGTTGTGAGAATTACCTTTGAACAATGGCCCAATCCGAGTGCTTTTTATGAGGTTTATTCACTGGCTGGAGGCTCATGGAGTGATCCTTGTTCTTTGGATCACGTAAACGGACTTAAAAGAACTTGCATGCCCGTTTTTGTTAATGGTGCTATTCACTGGAAGGCATACCACCGTTCGACAAATAGTGATTCTAAATATTTCATTTTGGCATTTGACGTGGGCAGTGACACATTTCGCAGGATAATGACTCCAGAGAATTTTAGAAGCTCAAGCGGCGAGGACTTTTATATTTCAGGTTACGGGAAATCTATTGCTCTGTCCAAGCTTTATTATACTAATATTGGAGAGCATTGTGTTGATATATGGTTGATGAAAGAGTGTGGCATGGAAGAGTCATGGACCAAATTGACAACTCTACGTCCAAAAGGTCCGCAAACAGGACTTTGCTACAGGCCATTATGTATTAGGAAGAGTGGTGATCTAGTGTTGGTACCGACTGATGGTTATACTGGTAGGCATGAATTAATTTGTCTAGACCTTGTGAGCATGCAATCTAAAAATCTTGGAATTCATGGATATAGATATTACTATGCCGAATCTTATGTTGAGAGCCTCATCTTACTTGACAAGACCGATGCAGTTTCTTACTGAGAAGAACAGGTAAGGTGATAGCATTGATTTTTCTTTGGTTTTCATTTTCTTATTCTTATGCATATACCTCTAAGGTCCCAACTGACTGACTTGATATGACCGTAAGATTCTGGCGTCGGAACAAAGTTTGTTATGGATTTGTTGCCTGAATTATTAATTATGGCCCTGTAATTGGTTGTTTATTTCACATTCATGAAATGGACATTGAACCGAAGTGGTGATTGATGATTCTTCAAAAACCACCAATGTGGGAGAATTAATGAAAGCAGGACATACGAGTAGTGATAACTCTAGTAAATGTTATTTGCCCGTGAAATCACGAGCAACTCATCATTCTACGTTGTTGCCTTTCAAGGTGCAGACCATGTAATACACTTGCTTGGAGGTACCATGTAATTGTTAACATCATTCATTCGTCCTCCATGCGGGTAGAAAATGGGGCAGATAACCTTCATTACGATGCCTTCTCTGTAGCTGCGTAGTGCTAGCCTTGCTGCTCCTGATGTTAAATTGTTCCAAAGTGTATCAAGATTTTCAATCTTTCATGAAACCGTACCTTTCTGTTTGCTAGGAGATCGTTTGGGATTTTGGTACCTTTTCTTCAGAAGTTTACGAAGACTTGTAATCTTTGATGAATTTGCACTTTTCTGTTTGGTAGGAGATGATTGGGAGTGCGTGATCAATTTAGGATACTGTAACAATGACATCTCTTGTCTGAATATTCTTCTAATGATTTGTCGGGTTTGTAACCATTTTTCAACAATGCAACATGCAAAGGGGACAATATCATGACCAACTAGTCTATGGTTAACCAATTTAAAATGATCTCGAGCAGAGATTATTTGCTATTTGTCTATAGTTGTTAGATGTCCACATATTTAGTACTTCAACGATACGTAAAGAACTCATATGAATTTAAGATTGGAGTACCTTGCGCGTAAAATATAAACCTTCAAGATGACCCAAAAAAATAAGATAATAATCAATAATAAGGTACCCTGCAATACAAATGAGTCAAACGATATAGGATTCTACTACGAAATATCTCAACCTTAGTCTCAAATCACTGCCAAAGAAAAATCCACGCTCATTACCTAACGAAGGCACACAAGTGATGTAATAAAGTAGCTACATTAACATGCTAGGTGTTGAGGTTCACTTTCTAATACTTGCCACGTAAAAGTATGCTAATTGCATTCATATCACATCCAATCCGTACAGTAAGATATTGTCTACTTTGGAGTATGCACTCACGGATTTGTTCTTGGATTTCCACCCAAAACATGTCTTATAGGAAGGTGGATATATACATATAAAGCACATCACCTTCTCTCCTTTGACGATGTGGGATCTCACATGCCAACATCGTAAGAGATTTCTACCGCTATCTTTAGAGGAACAAGCTGACACCTATTGCGAATTCAAAGCAAATGTGAATAGTGCGATGTGAACTATGCGTGGGTTCGTCCTGCGCCGGACCAGTTTTGAAAACATAAAGTGGGTCATGTAGCAGAGCCCATAATTCAAGTTTTAAATTAGCAATTAAATAAATAGCCGAAAACGACGTCGTGTCGTTGCTCTTTTTCTCTCTCCCTCCCTTCCCCTCTCTTTCAGATTTTGTTTCTAATCAAGCAAAAGCCCTCGCTCGACCGAGACTCGCTTCCTCAGCTGCGTTTTCGGTCGGCTCATCGAATGCTGTGAGTTCCTGAACCTTGCTTTTTTAATTTCTTTTTTTCTGGGGTTTATTATTTATCCTATATAAAAAAAATGAGGATTTGGGTTTAGTGTTCGTTTTTTTTTTCAGATGGGTTTTTGATTTTATATGCAAGTTTTAAATTTTTTTAGTTCTTGATACGAATGTTCAGATGGAAATTGCAGCCTGGGAATTCAAAGTTTGAACCAATGGTTCACAATTTTCCTGAGGAAATCATACTTGATATCCTGTTTAGATTACCTCCTAAAACATTGATCAGGTGCACCTCAGTGTGCAAGTCATGGAACTCCATGATAAAAAATCCCAGCTTTATACGCACCCACCTCAACCGTACAATCGATCTTAATAACCAGTTTGGCACCCACCTCCGCCTTGTGTACTGTGCTCGTATAGTTAAACGGTCTAGATTCCGCCATGGTGACCTTGAGTTATTGGAGGAGCAATGCAATTTGTATTCTGACAACCTTGCTTTTGATGAGTACTGCAAACTAGAATTTCCAATTGCTCCCAGGGAAGAACTGCACAATAAAGTTTTAGACGTGGTCGGGGTTTGTAATGGGCTGGTGCTTCTTGCTGATAATAAAGTTTGTTCAGGTAACACCTTCATTTTATGCAACCCGTCTATGAGAAAGTCAGTGACCCTTCCTAAGCCTCATTATACCTTCAAAGGAGATCCCGGTTATTATTATTGTATGGGTTTTGGTTTTGACGCTGTAACCAATGACTACAAGGTTGTGAGAATTACCATTGATCATAGGGAGGATCAGGATCCGAGTACTTTTTATGAGGTTTATTCACTGGCTGGAGGCTCATGGAGTGATCCTTGTTCTTTGGATCACGTATTAGGACTTGACAATATTCGCAAACCCACTGCTTTTGTTAATGGTGCTATTCACCGGGATGGATGGCGCCGTTTGACAAATGGTGGTTCTGAATGTTTCATTTTGGCATTTGATGTGGGCAGCGACTCATTTCGCAGTATAGTGACACCAAAGGATTTCAGAAAGTTATACAGCGAGCATTTGTGTATTTCAGGTTACGGGAAATCTATTGCTCTGTCCCTCTCTTATTATACTGAAATTATAGAGCCTCGTCTTGATATATGGGTGATGAAAGAGTATGGCGTGGAAGAGTCATGGACCAAATTGATAACACTATGTCCACCAGGTCCAGAAGGACAATCTTTGTACCAACCATTATGGTTTAGGAAGAGTGGTGATGTAGTGTTGGTACTGACTGAAAGTTTTGTGAATGATGATAGTAGGCATGAATTAGTTTGTTTAGACCTTGTGAGCAAGCAATATACAAATCTTGGAATTCATGGATATAGATATTACTATGCTGAATCTTATGTTGAGAGCCTCGTCTTACTCGACAAGACTGATGCAGTTTCTTACTGAGGAAAAGAACAGGTAAGGTGATAGCATTAGTTTTTCTTTGGTTTTCATTTTCTGGTTCTAATGCATATACCTCCAAGTTTGTTATGCTTTTGTTGCTTGAATCATTATGGCCCTGTAATTGGTTGCTTATTTTACATTCATGAATGGACATTGAATTATTTTACATTCATGATATGGACATTGAACCGAATTGCTGATTGATGATACTTCAAAAACCACCAATGTGGGAGAATTAATGAAAGCAGGACATACTAGGAGTGATAACTCTAATAAATGTTATTTTCCCGTGAAATCACGAGGAACACTTCATTCTACGTTGTTGCCTTTCAAGGTGCAGGCCATGTAATACTTGCTGCTTGATAGTAGCATGTTCGTCTTTGGATATTTTTTTACATTTTGTACATATCTGCGTTGAACATTGGTTATTGTCCTCCGTTAAGCACATTTGTTCGTCCTCCATGCAGGTAGAAAATGGGGCAGATAACCTTCAAGACTCTTACGGTGCCTTCTCTGTAGCTGCGTGGTGCTAGCCTTGCTGCTTCTGATGTTAAATTGTTCCAAGTTGTATCAAGATTTTCAATATTTGATGGAAGTGTACCCTTCTGTTTCCTAGGAGGTGTTTGGGATTTGGTACCTTTCTTATTTAACTATCTGTAATTTCGCGTTTCGACATCGCTTGTACTTGGGATTTATCATGGAAAAATGGAGGATTTGGATTTAGTTTAGTTTTTTTTCGGAAGGGTTTTGATTTTTCTATATATAGAGTGGAGATGTTTGGTTTCATCCGCAATTGTTTTGGTTTTTGACTTGAATGTTGTTCATAAGTTAGTTTTTGAGTTTAGGATACTGAAGAATGACATCTCTTGCTTGAAAAGTCTTCTAATGATTTGTCGGGTTTGTAACCATTTTTCGATAATTCAAAATGCAAAGGGAACAATATCATGGTCAACTGGTCGACTTATGTGTAGGAAGTTCAAGTTATGTGTACTTAAAAGATGTGTTGCACACTTGTCATTCAGTACTATGATCTGATGGTATTCCTCTTTATTTGGAAATGAAATGTTTTAGGTTCGAACAGATGGCAAATTCAATGCCAAATTAGGTTGTCCATTGTGTGACCTAACCAAACTCTCCCTCCTCTTAATGTAAAAAATATCGATACACTAAAAAAAAAAATTGCTGGACACTTAAAACCTTTATTAGTTTTTGCAAGTGGAGCTAAAATGCTTGATTTTTCATTGATATTTTATTTGAAATAAAGAGAAAAGGGAGGGTTGGTAAAGGAAGTATAACACACGGTCCGACACCGAATCTTAGTAAAGGCTTGTTAGACATTGCGTTTAGAGCGGCTAATAGTTGTTTCAAGTAACCAAATATGTACGTTTGAAAGAAAACAAAAAAGTGGTTATATATGGATTATAACAACGTTTTTTTAGTACTTTTTGAAGGGTACCTTGAAAGTAAAATGACAAATTTGGTGAAACCTTCGTAACATAAAAAAATGCCCCTTTTCTTACAACTTTTAAAAAGAATAATTTAACTAAATAAGAGCAAATTAGTAAAATAATTTGGAATTAAAAAAAAAGCCCCACGTAGAGAAGTAGCTATTGGTTTTTTTTTTTTGGTCAAAAACTATTTAAAATTATTAATTACTAATTTTTTTTTTGACAAACGATAAATTTTGTTAGATTAAATATTAGATTAACCATCGTCATAATTTAAACTCAACCGTCATGCAAAAACTTAACATTTCCACTACGATAATAAAAGACAACTTACTACTAATTTTTTTATGAAAAAAAGAAAAAAAAGAATCAATTATCACGTGTGTTATCTGGCAGGAAGAGGCTCGTAGATTATAATATGGAAACAAAAAGAATATGAAACTTGCGCGTAAAGATGAAGCCTACAATTCAAGCTTTTAAATGGGTCTATAGATAAATTAACATATTAAATTGGGTTTGTGAGGGTATTTTAGGTATTAAATTTGAGTTTAAAGAGATATTGATAGTTTAATTAATAATAATATGGATGTACAAATTGGGTATAGAAAGATATTACATGAGTCCAAATAAAATTTTTCATATCTTATTCAAGAAATACCTTTCTTGTGCTTATCCATAAAGATCCATAAAGCTAAAAAAAATGCTTTTAGAATCGAAGAAGCACTTAACCATTTAATTAGATGATGCAGGAAGCTCATCCAACGCAATCAAAACCCTAGCTTCCAATACGTTTTCTTCTCTAACACAAGAACGAGACTCCGTTTCCTCAACTCCAATTTTCGGCTCAGCGATCAAATATTGTGAGTTCATGTCTTTTTTTTTTTTTTCCCTTCGTTTTTCAAGAGCAGGATTATGTTGTTCTCTTCTGTTTTAGTTTTTGTTATAGCAACGGTTCCCTTGAATTTTAGTTTCTTCTTCTCAATTATAGCTAGGTTATTGTTTCGTAATTATATATATTTCCTCACTCAGTCTATCTCTATGAAATCTGCAGCCTGGGAATTGAAATTTTGAAACAATGGCTCACAATTTGCCTGAGGAAATCATACACGATTACTATATAGACTACCGCCGAAATCTTTGATCATATGCACCTCGGTGTGCAAGCCATGGAACTCCATGATAAAAAATCCGAGCTTTATACGCACCCACCTCAACCTTACAATCGATCTTAATAACCAGTTTGGCACCCACCTCCTCCTTGTGTACTGTGATCGTGTAGTTAAACATTTTAGCAACAGCAATGGTGAGATTGAAGAAGAGTTATTGGAGTAGCATTCCAATTTGCATTATGATAACCTTGCTTTTGATGAGTACTGCAAACTAGAATTTCCAATTGTTCCCAAGGACGAACTGCGCAATAAAGTTCTACGAGAAAGTTAGTGACCCTTCCTAAGCCTCATTATACCTTCAAAGGATATCGCGGTTATCATGATTGTATTGGTTTTGGTTTTGACGCTGTGACTAATGACTACAAGGTTGTGGTTATTACCGTTGATCAATGGGATGATCCGAGTGCTTTATATTAGGTTTATTCACTGGCGGCAGGCTCATGGAGTGATCCTTGTTCTTTGGATCACATAAGTGGACTTAAAAGAACTTGCCAAACAACTTTTGTTAATGGTGCGATTCACTGGCAGGCATTCAAGCGTTTGACATATGGTGGTTTTGAAGATTTCATTTTGGCATTTGACGTGGGCAGCGACTCATTTCGCAGGATAATGACACCAGAGAATTTGAGAAGCTCATGTGGCGAGCACTGGTATATTTCAGGTAACGGGAAATCTATTGCTCTGTCCAAGCCTTATTACAGTAATATTGGAGAGCCTTGTCTTGATATATGGGTGATGAAAGAGTATGGCGTGGAAGAGTCGTGGACCAAGACAACTCTATGTCCCGCAGGTCCACAAAGAGGAGTTAGGTACTTGCCATCATGTTCTAGGAAGAGTGGTGATGTAGTGTTGGAACCGATTGATGGTTGTTGGTATGATGATAAAAGTTATGAATTAGCTTGTGTAGACCTTGTGAGCAAGCGATTTAAAAGTCTTGGAATTCATGGATATGGACATTTCTATGTTGAATCTTATGTTGAGAGCCTCGTCTTATTCGACAAGACCGATGCAGTTTCTTACTGAGGAAAACAACAGGTAAGGTGGTATGACGGCTTCTGTGTAGCTGCCAGCTGATGACATAATGTTCTTCAGAAGTTTTATGAAGACTTTGAATCTGTTGCCCTTCTTTCTGTTTGGTAGGATATGACTGGGAATTTGGCCCCTTTTTACCATTTGCATTTCCATTGAATAGAAGTTCTTTCTCGTTGTTTCCAAACAAAGCCCAAAGTAAGGAGAATCTCTTCAAAGTGAGATTCTCCACCACCTCATGTTTTTATGATTGTAATTACAATAACTTCAAAATTCTATTGGAAATAGAGAAATGCTAAGGAGACTTTTCAAAGTGGGACTCTCCACCACCTCATGTTTTTAGCACAATTTTCGTGCCTGTTGCAGTCATATTTGGAATATAAATGTGATTGTGTAAATCCTAGTATATCTAGGAGTATCTTTTATATTCCTTTTAGTAGCCTAATTTCTATTAGAGTTGTAATCCTAAAAGGATAAGGATTTAACCTATCATACTACTATAATGGGGTGATACAACACACACCTCACAATTAAATTTCTCTCCTCTCTCTCTATCCCTTAGATAGCTCAATTAAATAGGCCTACAACAATGTCAACATGATAAAACATTGTAGAAAAAATATGAGGTCGCGGAGAGTCATACTTTAAAAAAGTCTTCTTAGCATTTCTCTTGAAATATTTCACCACCCTCAAATGATAAACATAAACAATGTACAAAAAAATTTGAAGTGGCGGAGAGTTCATAAAGAGTCCTACTTTGAAAGAGTCTCTTTAGTATTTCTCTTGAAAATATCTTTGTTCACCACCCTCAACTGATGGTGATGCTCATCACTCTATTTTTGTACTATTTGATGAGTTTAAATTTCAAAATTTGTATAGTAGATAATAAGTAGGATGATGAACATTATTAATACTTGATAATAGTGAGCAAAAATACACAGAGATCTAAAACTAAAAGAAACATATGTTGTCAGTCTTTAAGCGGTATATTCACATAATGGTCAAGGCCTATTCCTTTTAGCCTCTACCTCTGAAGTTCAAACCTTCTCTCCTTTTCTAAGGGCAAATTAAAATATTAATATTGCTTGTATAAAAAAGAATAAAGTGGTCAGATTAGTTCTTTAAAGCCATTTTATAAGTTCGCCAAAGCTTCACCAAATCAATTATTACAGTCCGGTTTATTTTAGACTGTTTGACTTTATATGGTCAAATACACTTAAATTGGACACTATGAACAAAATCTAGTGTGACATTCTAGTTCAATAACATAATATTATATGAAGTTAGACTAATATTTGATATTGTATTATCAAACCGAAATTAGTACCATTAGGCCAAAACTGGTGTCGTTAAACCAAGACGCCACATTGACTGCTTAAGGTCCATACATCTAAGATACCCTCCAAAATAGGGGGCCAAAGTAGAATTTAGATAAATTAAAGCGGTAAAGTTTATCATTAATCCCTGTATAAACACAAGATGAAGGCCTTTAAATCTCCAACGGGCATATAAATACAGAGAGGGAGATACACAGGATCTTCCTTCCACTAGGGTTTGTGCCGACGCCTTTCCCTCACCTACAGAAAGCAACGCCCTAGAACCCAGAAAGATGAAGGCCTTTAGGAATAATTATTGTAATATAATTCTGATTGTATTCCTGTTTTATAGAGATTATACACCTTTGTGCTATGAATATAATTATCAGATTATAATTTCTATCAGAAGGACAAGGCTCGCTTCCTTAATTCCAATTTTCGGCTCATCGAATTTGTGAGTTTCTAAAGTCTTTTCTTCTTTTTCTGGTGTTTTTATTAGAAGAACTTATTTCCTATAACAATGGTGTTTTTCTTCGTTCCTTCAGATGGATTTGGATATTTGGTTGCTCTACTGTTAAAACAGTTGCTTTGATCTCTACTGCATTTCAATTACATTTAACGTAATAGTTTCCAAAGCAAACCTAATGCAAGGATATTTGGTTGCTCTACTGTTAAAACAGCTAGCTGTTTGATCTTTGCTACTCCCCTTGTTGCCAATTGGTTTTATGATGGAACCTCAATGTTCTTCATGGTCTCGGAGTAGGCTGTCTCACATGTAAAGCCAAAAGGCCACAGGCGCTTCACGTCACCTCGTTGTGTTGTCCACGTGATAGACTTGAAAATTTGCCACATGAGGGGGCGTGTTGAGAATGAATTCCACATTGATGGGAGAAGGGACCTTGTATGGGCTTATAACAGGTTGGACTACTCCCATATTGCCAATTGGTTTTATGATGGAACATCAACCTTCTCCACAAATATTGTGTTTCCTAATGTCTCTTTTTTCTTTTGCTTCTTTTTTTTTTTTTTTTTTTTTTTTTTTCAAGAGAAGGATTTTGTAGTTCTCTTCTGTTTTAGGTTTTGTTATAACAACACTTCCCTTGAATTTTAGTTTCTTCTCAATTATATCTAGGTTATTGTTTTGTAATTATATATATTTCCTCACTTATCTCTATGAAATCTACAGCCTGAGAATTCAAATTTTGAAATAATGTCTCACAATTTGCCTGAGGAAATCGTACATGATATACTATATAGACTACCACCTAAATCTTTGATCAGGTGCACCTCAGTGTGCAAGCCATGGAACTCCATGATCAAAAATCCTAGCTTTATACGCACCCACGTCAACCGTACAATCTCTCTTAATAACCAGTTTGGCACCGAACTCCGCTTACTCCACTGTGTTCCTAGAGCTATTCTTTCCAGCAACGTCAACATTTGCGCAGACGAACCAAGGGAGGAGCATTACAATTTGCACTATGAAAACCATGCTTTTGATGAGTACTGCAAGCTAGAATTTCCAATTGTTCCCAAGATGAATAAATTTCTTCGCGTGGTTGGAATTTGTAATGGGCTGGTGTTCCTTACTGATGATACGGACCGTTTAGGTTACACGTTCATGTTATGCAACCCGTCTATAAGAAAGTCAGTGACACTCCCTAAGCCTCGTCTATCCTTCGAGACAATTGACCCGTACTATGCTTGTATTGGTTTTGGTTTTGGTTTTGATGCTGTGACTAATGACTACAAGGTTGTGAGACTTATCACCGATCTATGTGAGGATATGAATACTATTTATGAGGTTTATTCACTAGCTAGCTGGAGGCTCATGGAGTGATCCTCGTCCTTTGGATCTCGCACGTTTAGTTATGAATCCTCGAAAACCCCTTGCTTTTGTTAATGGGGCTATTCACTTTGAGGCATGGCGCCACTTGACAAACCATGGTTTTGAATATTTCATATTGGCATTTGACGTGGGAACCGATTCATTTCGCAGGATAATGGCACCGAAGAATTTCAGATGCCCAGCTGGGACCGCACACTAGTCTATTTCAGGCAACGGGAAATCTATTGCTCTGTCCAATCTTCGTTATACTTGTCTTGAGATATGGGTGATGAAAGAGTATGGCATGGAAGAGTCATGGATCAAACTGAAAACTCCAACTCCACCAGGTCCACAAGGAAAAGTTTTCTACAGGCCACTATGGTTTAGGAAGAGTGGTGATCTAGTGTTGGTACGGACGGATGCTTGTTGGGGTGATGATGACAGCCTGACAGGTATGAATTAGTTTGTCTAGATCTTGTGAGCAAGAAATTTGAAAATCTTGGAATTCATGGATATGTATATTACCATGCTGAACCTTATGTAGAAAGCCTCGCCTTACTCGAGACTAACGATGCAGTTTCTTACTGAGGAAAACAACAGGTAAGGTGATAGCATTGATTTTCTTTGGTTTTCATTTTCTTCTTGTTCAAATGCATATACCTCCAAGGTTCCGAGCGTGACATGATATGATCATTCGATTAACAAAGTTTTTTATGCATTGGTTGCTCATTTTACGCTCATGAAATGGACATCGAACCATTCAATTAAAAAAAAAAATCAGATTTATTTGGTAAAAAAAAAAGTGAGCCAAAACAAAGTAGTAATTACCATTGTCATATCATGTCAACCGAACTATTTGGAATACTAAAATTTTGGCACGGTAATGGTATATAGTTTGTCAAACCAAAAATTTGATATGGTAATTGTTACGGTAACCGTACCGAACCCACCCTAGTAATACTTGGTTGATAGTAGCATGTTTGTCTTTGCAAATTATTTACATTTTTGATATACCTGCATTGAACATTGGTTATCGTCCACCGTTAAGCACAGCTCCCTGAAGCGTAATTGTGTTCATTCGTCCTCCATGCAGGTAGAGCAGATAACCGTCAAGACTTTTACGATGCCTTCTTTGTAGCTCTGTAGTGCTAGCCCTTCTGCTTCTAATGTTATATTGTTCCAAAGTATATCAAGATTTTTTATGAAAGTGTACCTTTCTGTTTGCTTGGAGATGTTTGATATTTGGTACCTTTCTTATTTAACTATCTGTAATTTCGAGTTTCATCTTGATGTCCTTACTTGTGAAGATCGCCCCTTCGACAGCTGAGAAAAATTTTCATATCTTAGTTTCATAGCTCGAATATTTTCATCTCTTTCATCACACTACTCTTTCCTTCTGTAAGTGTAATAGTACTACAAAAGGTATTATCAATGGCTTGAAAACATGGGACTTTTTATGCCTTATGGATGTTTGACCTTTAGTTTCTTAGTTAAATTAATGACGTGACGACCACAAGACCTCCACATAGACCAAGAATAGTCATTGAGGAGCTTCAAGTTCTCTTGAAAGGACAAACAGTCGCACAATTTGGTCACAATGGTACAAGTGTTGCTTCAATCTATCATAAAAATCGTGTTCCATATCTGCTTTGATCATCAATTTACTAGGTCCATAGGACAATAAAAATAAATTGATATTCAGAACTTTGGCGTGCAATGTAAAAAAAAATGAAGGTTTGTAATCGATTTTAAAAATCACGATTCACGATAAATACGAAGGGTGTAGTTAGTGTTGGAAAATTAGTTATTATTTTATTATTGTTTATGGTTTTCTTGGGGGCTAAGGATAGTAGAGTTTCTTGCTGTCAAGAATTAGGGTTTTGCTTTAGTTTTCACTATATATAGTAGTGATTGTATTGGTTTATTTTATCAAGTCAGTCAAGATGTAGTCTCTTTAGTTCATGTAACATTCTTGGCAATTCTATTTATTAAAGTTTCATGTTCGATCAGTTTGTTCGTTGTTTGTCTCACAGTCCGATATTCAACTTGGTATCAGAGCAAGTTTGATCCTTCTAGGTTGAATCTATTCTTGGTAGCTAGTTTGTCTTGTCACGTTCCTCTTCTTCGTTGTGGTTTGTCATTGTGCCCTAGTTAGGGTTTTGTTGCTTAAAAAAAGGGAGAGAACAAAAAATTTGAATCTGTTTGCAGCACTACGTCATCGTCTTCTTCTACACTCAGAACAACCGCCACGAACCCGCATCACCATCCACGCGTGCTGATCTGCAGAACCATCCACCGCCGCTACCGTCCCGACAATCTCACCGCCGCTAATTGTGTCTAGCATGTCTGTTCCCTGCATGTTTTCTTGCTTGCCTGAATCAGGAACACAAACCACCACGACCTGCCGCTGCTGCCTGACCAACTTCTGCCTTGTCGCCACTTGACCATTGCACCAGACCTTCACCATCCCGCTGCACCATACCTGCACCGTGACATCCCCACCCGTTCTCTGCCGCACCCATCATCCTGTCCACCTACCCAGGCCACGACTACTGTTTCTTGAACAGTGAAACCGCTGTCTATTGCGTCCTCGCTGAAAAGACTGCAAACACAACTCAGAGTTTGAGTTCGGAGTGTTGGTCTGCACTTGTTTTTGCATCTAGTTTGCTACCGTGAATCAAAGAAAGAGAGAATGGAGTTGAAGCTTGGGCCTTCGTTGATTGAAGCTAATGTTGGGCCTGATTTGTTTAGAGGCCCACATGGTAGACCTAAGAATGGGTACTGTTGGGCTTGTATTGGTTGATTTGAATTCAGAATGAAGTTTGCTTGGCTATCACCCAAGTGATAAGTTTTGTTTTATTCGTTGGTTGCTGCAGTTGGGATATAGGAATCTAGTCCGTTTAGTGACGAAATCCATACTCCCAACGTTTGGTTGCAGAATTTGTTGATTGCTAGAATTGCTTGTTCGCTCGCCTGCTTTCTTGGATTGTTCGTTTGCTCGTTTGAATCGCTTGTCTTGTTGTGTCCGCCTAAAGGAGCTTGCCTTGTCGTGTTTGCCTAACGGAGCTTGCATCCGCATCTGCTTGTTGGCAAACTCATGATGTGTACCGCCATGAGATTGAAGGTGGTGTTGGAAATTAGTTATTATTTTATTATTATTTATGGTTTTCTTATGGGCCAAGGATATTAGAGTTTCTTTCCCGTCAAGAATTAGGGTTTTGCTTTAGTTTTCACTAGCAGGACTGCCCGCGCTTTGCTGCGGGTTTTCAAATCATGAATAATATTCATAGAAAATTTAACTGAAAATGCTACAGCGATATAATCGCATTCTTAAATGTAACAATTTAGAGAACGCATGTTTTACATGAGTAACGCTCACAAAACCACACATTTACACAATTATCTCCAAATGAAAGAAAAAGCAAGAGATATGTGAATTGATCCATAAAATACGTAGTTTAATTTACATTGCTACTCATTAAGTCGACATCAAATAGAAGCTTCACATCACAATAATTAACCACAATCCTCTGTTTTTGTAAGTGCAAAATGAAAAACGGAATCAAATATTAAACCCAATATCTTCACAGCACAATGTTCAACCCAACATCTTCACATTAGCTCAAGAACTATATTGTTTCCAGAGCTTTCCAATTTCCCAGCACGGAACAACAAACATAAAAGCATTAAAATAGCTCTAAATTAAAACAATAGGATGAACTGCAAAACGATAGAGGAAAGATTAAGAGCTTACCCTCACAAAATCAAAGCTCACCAAAATGCTTACCCTAACCAAAGAATCGTAGAGAATAAATCTGCATCAACATGTAAATCATAGAAAAAAAAAATTAAAATTTATAAATACCATCATTTCACTACTAATTTGAATAAATCCAGAAACAATACATTGGAATAATCTTTTAGGTCTTCCAATATTAATAGGTTAGAAATTCAGAAGATAAAACACCACAATTCATTAAATTCAAAGTTGAACAATTCATTAAATTCAGAGCTTACCCACTGTAACATCAAATGATAGAAGCAAGACTTGTGTTAAAAGTCATGTGATGTGTATATTTACAGACACCAAGATTTTACATGCCCAAGAAAGGGAATCACTCTATTAAAAAGAGAGGAACTACTGATACTGCAGGTACATTAACCATACCACTAATTTTAAATGACAGCATATGCTCGAGTAAGCGAAAGACTAAAAGACGAAAAGAAGAGGGTTATATACCCGTTTCAATGTCATTGTCAGGGGCCTCTTAAACCTGGTTCCAGAATGAGGATAGTCCAACACTCTCGTAGTGACTAATACTTATTGTGACCTTCACTCAGTTTGTGAATTAGAAACTTGAAATACACCAAAAATTATATTAATAGCCATTCCCCTAATTTTAACTACTAACAACGTAAAGAATTGGAAATTACAATTAAGACCAATGTTTTCCCCCTTTTTTTTCATTGCCATAAAAGGCAGAAAAACAAAGGCTTCTAAAACTCAAACCAACCGTCTCATTTCTTCCCAAAAATAAACACATTTTAATCCAACATTCATAAATGCGTGGTCAAACAGGGGAGAAAATTATGTTAATTTGAGCTTCAAATTTACAAACATAACTGTTTACAATAAGCATATATAACATGATTTGGTCTGCAGTGCTTTCACCAATAGTTATAAAAAACAAAGATTATAAAGATATGCATGCAATAGAATGACTATTACCTCCAAGTAAGCAATTGCATGGTTGCAATCTAAGTTGCACACATCATGTTCAATCTGATAGCTTCAGTATAGCACTTGACAACATTATTTCAGGCTTTTCCTTAAATGAAGTATTTCCCTGGGAAAAGATTAGCAAACATAGAAATTGAAACAATACACATAAGTACATTGGTATCCCAGTTCTTTGCTAATAGAAAATGAAATTAAGGGGATGGAGAGACCTAATTTCAACTTTTTGAAGGAGAACACCACACTTCATTCATATCAAAGAACAGCATGATTCCAATTTCAATTTTGAACATAATAAATCGCATAGCATTCATATATTACTTCAACTTCTTTCAAATTTACTTTTGTATTTAAAGATTGTATGTTTTAATGAGTCTAAATTGACTATATATAAATTATACCTTTTTATATTTAAATAATAATGTACATTGTATAATTACAGTTATAGTCCATGAATACAATTAGAGGCCTTTGAATTTCTTTGCAAGAGAAGATTTACACGGAAAAACAACTGCAAATATACAGAAGGAGGGAATTTGACTTTTGTAGTGCATCTACTCAGCAATTTCTTAATATAGATACAACTGAGCAGTGGGAGAGCTTTAGCTAATACTATTCAATTCCACAGGTAATTATAAAAAAATAATCACATAATTTCTCACAATAAAAATCAATGTGACTAAAAACAAATGATATGTATCAACTTTGATGATTTCCCTTATTTTCCCTCTCCTTCCCAGCAACCAAACAGGGGCAAAAATTACCAAAAACTGAAAAGATTGAAGTACCTGAGCAAGTTGGAATGCCTGGGTTGCCATATACACTTGGTGTAAAAAAAATAAGGGTGGGCATTTTCAGAGCACCTAAACCCTTCATCCACAAACGTATGTAAAAAATCATACAAAATAATATTTTGAATGCATTAATCCGTAGAAACAAATAAGCTAAAATCAAACTTCTCTATCAGAAAGTAAAGACACGATCCAAAAATCCATTAACATAAAAAAGATGTCAATGTCCATTAGCAGCAAGTTTCTCACCTGGAAGACAAATCTCTTTTTCATTCCTTGAACTGATAGAAGACCTTTCATACGATATATGTCCTCACTTCGTTTCAACAACAGTGTACCAAGCCATACGTTAGCCTGAAAAAATAAAAACGAAATCAGTAGTCTTTGTCAGGTTTTCTTTCATACATGCCTGGACAAAGACTCTGGATACAACTGGCCCTCAAATATGTACTTGTCTCATTCAAAGGCAACAGGTCCACATGGAAGACACAGAAGAAATTATCAAATATATTGCAAAATACGACAAAACAGAGATCCTACCTTTTCAAGTTCTAAGTTCCCTTCACAAACTATGCTGACAGAAGAAACACCAGGATCATGAACATGATCATGGGTGTGGTGATCCTCATGATGGTCTGCACATCAGTTTCAAATGTGTGAATATCAGTTCATAAATCAAATCACAATTATAGTGGAAGATCAGAACTCTTAAAGCAAATCAAAATATTATCCAATCAAAAACCAAACTAAAGCAAATCACATATTGATAGGAGCATATTTAGGCGACTTACTTAGCTTGTTTTCGTGCATCTATGTTGTTAATTCATAGTTGTTTTAGTAGTTTAAGCCATTTTCGTGTGTTTTTAGGTTCATATGGCTAAGGAAGCAAAAAGATGCATTTTGGAGCATTTTGGAGCAAAATTGGGCTTGGAATGGATAGCATATGATTGGAGCCAAAGTGTTGGACGAATTTGAAGGCCTTGTATTCATTTTGGACATAAAACAAAGGGCCTAGCCCATTCTCTCTTAAACCAACCCCAAGGCCATGCATTTCCTTCCAATTCCAAAGCCCACAATCACTTCAAAAGCCATGCAAAGAACCATCCATTCCATCAAAAACAATCCATCAATTCACATGCAAAACCACCATTAACACACATGCACCCAAACAAAGCCAACCTAGCTAACCCTACATGCATTCTTTATGCAACTCTTCATCATTCCACCATTCATTCTTTATTCCACAAACAAGTCACATGCATTTCCACCTTCCTACTTCATCATTTCACCACATTCTCCCTCTTTAACTCATTTCATTATTCATTCACTTTGCATTCATTCAATTCCACCCCACATGCACCCTTTATTCTTCATCATTGCAACCATGGCACATTTACACCAACAAAACAACTCCCATGCCATGGCCTACTCATATTCCCATTTCCTTTCCAACATCTCACATGCATTTCCACCTTCCTACTTCATCATTTCACCACATTTTCCCTTTTATTTCCACATGCAATTCTTCATCATTGCAACCACAAACACCTTAAACAAATAGCCATATACATCTCCACTCCTCCTATAAATACCCTTGCATTCATTCATTCAAAAATCATCTCATTTCATACACAACACACCACAAACACTTCCATCTTCTCCCTAGCCGTGAGTTTCTCTCCATTTTCCCTTCCATTTCTCCTCCATTTCTTCCATTTCCATAATCCCCCAATCCATTCAACACACCAACAACATCCCTTAGTCCTTGTGCCACAATAAAGAGGAAGATAAGAGGGCCTAAACGTTCATACAATTCACGTTTGAGTTGTTGGAATGTTTACGCGTTTCTTTGATTTCAATGTTTAAATTCAATTCTCTTTGTTTTGTAATATGAGGAATGGAAGAGAAGAGTGCCTAAACGTTCATACAATTCAAGTTTGAGTTGTTGGAATGTTTAGGTGTTTCTTTGATTTCAAAGTTATGAGGAACTAAACCCTTTTTGGCTAGGGGTGATTTCAATACCATGATTATTTATGTAATATGAATTGATGAATTCCGGTTATGAACTCTTGATTCGTGAATGCAATTGGCTTAACTATTTGATGATTAACTTATTTGTGTTTGTTGATTGAGGGTCGACACTTAATTAGCATGCATGAATATGTGGCTAAAGTTTAAGAAGGTTTCACATAATCGTTACTAACTTATACTTGAAAGTAGTGAAGGTCGCTTGTCACGATCGCGTTAAGTTTAATTCTTAGCATGAGTAACATGATGTCATAGTTGCAAATGCTTTGTCAATGCTTATGGTTTTCATTATTCTTAATGATCTTCGATTGTATCTCTATTATGATGACATGTAGGGAACTTTTGAGAATATTTTGGGTTGTCGAATGATGCCATCCAATCCAATAATATAAGGAAAATCTGAGGGTTAACTAGTGATGTCACGGTTAATGTGGGGCATTGTCGTTCATAATTCAATGAAGGAATAATTGGAAATTGATTCATATGCATAAATATCATGTGTGGAGAAAGAACCTCTAGCTAATTCACCAACCATCTAATTTCACAACACTTGTTTACAATCTATCCATATTTACAATTTGTTTTGTTTCCAAGTATCCATTTTAGTTTAAATTCGTCCAAATCCAATTCCCCCCTATTTCGTTGAAGTCTTAGTCTTAATCTTTCTTATTTTTAGTTTTGCTTTCTTCGAGCATTAAATAGTGTTTTATATTGAGTTTTTATGTTTTTAAGTCAATTTAAAAGGTTTTAGCAAGCCCTCCTAATCTCCGGTCTAGAACGATCCCTCACTTATCCATTCTACTACAATTGTCAAACGAGGGTTTAATTTGAGTGTCAAGTAATTCTCACATCACATACGCAACAGAAGCCGAACACAAATCCCACATTTCACAACCAAATCATCATATTAGTTCGAAACATTAAATTCTAAGAACTAAAAATAATAATAACAGTACCTTAAACTGAATCTTGAGGTGAGAACCTCTTGCTTTGCAACCTGTAACAAACCATAGAAATTAAAACCCACGAATCCACAATCAGATAAAAACAATTTTCCAAGAAAAACAAAACCAAGATTGATATACAAAAGAGCATTAGATCTATAACTTGGAAAACAAAAAGAAAAAAAAAAGCCATACAAAAAACCCCAAAAAAAAAAAAAAAAAAAAAGAACCGACCTTAAGACAGAGAACAAACAGGCAAACAGAGAGATGAATGTGCAAAATGAGAGAAAAGCAAACTAATAAGGGAAATTAATATCTCTGATGATTCCCTCAAAATCTGACCTAACACACTAAAAAATTCGAAAATAATCCACTTATCTTTCGAAATCACTTATCTTTCTAAGCTGATAGAAAAAAAAAAATTTAAAAAGCACTTATCTTTCGAAATCCAAGCATGCAGCGGTAGATCCGGATAACCCGTATGGTTTTCTCTGACCATCCCCACTCTCCCACTTCTGAAATCCATGACTCATACCTTCCCCTTCGCTCTCTTTCCATCGTCATCTCTCTCTCTCTCTCTCTCTCTCTCTCTATCTCTTTCTTCCACTCTCTGTCAGAGTCTCCATCACCCCGAAACCCTCATTCAAGGACAGCAAATGAAACTGTACACAACAACCCTCGAATTCAGTCAAAACCGAGAAGACAAAACCCACTTTCCCAGTTTTCAAATCCATCACCCATACCTCTCCCCTGCGCTGTCTTCCCATCGGCATCTCTCTCTCTTTCTCTCTCTCTCTCTCTCTCTGTTTCTTCCGCTCTCGGCATCTCTCTCTCTCTGTTTCTTCCTCTCTCTGTCAGAGCCTCAATTCCCCGAAACCATCAATGCAACCCTACACGGCAACCCCAAAATTTAGCCAAAACCGACAGGACAAAATTGCCCTTCCAACCTAGTCCACATATAATGGGTTTCTTGCAAATAAGGTGAAATAAAGGGGTAATTCGTCCTAAACCCTCCGGACAAAATTACCCTTCTCAGTTCAAATATATACCCTTCAAACCCAGCCCAAATCTCATGGTTTTATTGTAAATAAGATGAAATCAAGAGGCAAACAATTGACTGTAGCCGAATGAACAGTCAATTGCTCCTCAATTTTAGAATAGATAATTATATATAGTGATGATTGTATTAGTTTATTTTATCAAGTCAATCAAGATGTAGTCTCTTTAGTTCATGTAACATTCTTGGCAATTTCGTTTATTAGAGTTTCATATTCCGTTTGTTCGTTTGTTCGTCTCGCACTATGATATTCAACTGTTAGCACCTAAGTTTTTATTAAATATCTTCTTGAAGAAATACCTTTCATGTGCTTCTCCATAAAGTCAAAAAATGCTTTTAGAATCAACGAAGCACATTTAACTATATGGTCCCTAATCGGTAAATAATGTTTCAAAAAATATTTCGTAAGTTACGAAAGAAGGGATTTTTTTTTTATGTTTTTTTTTTTTTGAACAAATGATATTATCTACACTAAGCGGGGTGGACTTAGCCACATAATGAGTTAGCAATAAGATGGTTCAAATTTGTCTTTGGTAATACTTAAATTTAAGACCTCTCACTTATAAGCGATGAGGAATACCACTAGACCGTAGTACTAAATGACTAAACACCACGAGACACTACTAGGAAAGGAAAGCTAAACACCGTGAGGGAAAGAGATCCCTCTGGATCTCTCCCTCCAAAACCCAAGGATCAAGTAATTCCGGCCTTTGAAATTTGATCCAACGGTTAAAAACAGATAAGTTAGTAAAAACTTTTAAAATTTTTAATAATTTTTAACCGTTTCATCAAATTTCAAAGACCCAGATCACTTGATCCTTGGGCTTTGGAGGAGGGAGATATGCGGACAGGATCTCTTTCCCACCGCGGGAAACTAGGTAATAATTTCCAAATGAACCTATAAATAGATGATGCAGGAATTAAGCTCATCTAACGTACCCAAAACCCTAGCTTCCAGCACTGTTCTTCTCGAACACAACACAAGAACGAGACTCGGTTTCTCAACTGCAATTTTCGGCTCGATTAAATAGTGTGAGTTCCTAAAGTTTTTTTTTCTTCTTTTTCTTTCAAGAGCAGGATTTTGTAGTTCTCTTCTGTTTTAGGTTTTGTTATAACAACAATTCCCTTGAATTTTAGTTTCTTCTTCTCAATTATATCTAGGTTATTGTTTTGTAATTATGTATATTTATTTCCTCACTCACTCTATCTCTATGAAATCTACAGCCTGGGAGTTCAAATTTTGAAATAATGGCTCACAACTTGCCTGAGGAAATCGTACATGATATACTATGTAGGCTACGGCCTAAATCTTTGATCAGATGCACCTCAGTGTGCAAGGCATGGAACTCGATGATAAAAAATCCCAGCTTTATACGCACCCACCTCAACCGTACAATCTCTCTTAATAACCAGTTTTGCACCCACCTCTGCCTACTCCACTGTGTTCCTAGAGCTATTCTTTCCGGCGACGTCAATGTTCGCGCAGACGAGCCAAGGGAGGAGCATTACAATTTGCATTATGACAACCAAGCTTTTGATGAGTACTGCAAGCTAGAGTTTCCAATTGTTCCCAAGATGAATACATTTCTTCGCGTGGATGGAATTTGTAATGGCCTGGTGTTCCTTGCTGATGATAACGACCGTTTAGGTTTCACATTCATGTTATGCAACCCGTCTATAAGAAAGTCAGTGACACTTCCTAAGCCTCATCTGTCCTTCGAGCCAATTGGCCGGTACTATGCTTGTATTGGTTTTGGTTTTGACGCCGTGACTAATGACTACAAGGTTGTGAGACTTATCTCTAAGAAATTTAAAGATCCAAATACTTTTTATGAGGTTTATTCACTAGCTGGAGGCTCATGGAGTGATCCTCGTTCTTTGGATTTCACACATTTATCTATGAGTCCTAGAAAATCCCATGCTTTTGTTAATGGGGCTATTCATTTTGAGGCATGGCGCCCTTTGACAAACGGTGATTATGAATATTCCATTTTGGCGTTTGACGTGGGAAGCGATTCATTTCGCAGGATAATGGCACCAAAGAATTTCAGCATCCCAGGGACCACGCAATTGTTTATTTCAGGCAACGGAAATTCCATTGCTCTGTTCCAGCCTTGGTTTACTAGTACCGGAGAGCTTTGTCTGGATATATGGGAAATGAAAGAGTATGGCATTGAAGAGTCATGGACCAAATTGACAACTCTAAGTCTACCAAGTCCACAAAGACGAGTTTTCTACAGGCCATTATGGTTCAGGAAGAGTGGTGATGTAGTGTTGGTTCCGATTACTATTTTATGGGACGATGATGATAGGTATGAATTAGTTTCTCTAGACCTTGTGAGCAAACAATTAAAAAATCTTGGAATTCAGGGATATAAATATTATTATGCTGAATCTTATGTTGTGAGCCTCGTCTTACTCGACAAGACCGATGCAGTTTCTTACTGATGAAAAGAACAGGTAAGGTGGTACGACGGCTTTTATGTAGCTGCGAAGTGATGATAATATAATTCAGAAGTTTATGAAGACTTTGATCTATTGCTTCTCTTCCTCTGTTGGTAGGAGATGATTGGGAATTTGGCACCTTTTTACCATTTGCTTCTCTTTCTATTCAATGTGCCTGTAGTCACTCTTTCAATCTTGTATCTCCTGCATGGTTTATTTCAACTATCTCGCTTCTTCTTTCGAGTTTCGACTAGATTAACGATATCCCAGTTTCATGGTTCTAAGTTTCTCTATGTGATTATGCGGATTTGTTGTCGTTTCATGCAAGTTTTATTTCCCATAAGCAATGGTTTGTCAGTATATTAATATTTCGAGACATACCATTTAAATTTGTGTCTTCAGTGCGAAAGGAGCAAGATCTAAAAGAGGAAGCTTATTTTGGCAACCAACAAAAAAAAAAAAAAAAAGAGAAGCATATGTTTTTTTTTTTTTTTTTTCCGTTTTGTCAAACAATAGATTTTTAGATTTGATGTTAGATTAAGGAATTGACAGAGTTCGAACCTATCCATGGTGCAAGGGTAATAGTCATCTCCAACTAAATAAAAGAAGTTATTTTAATTAACGAAATACGTTCAATGTGCAATATCAAATCTATTCTTAAACCTAGCTAATTGGTTAATGGCAAAACCGAAGCTTTATTTTGTTTGGGAATTTTAATATCTACTACAACATTTTGTGGGTTGAAATTTTTCCTAGGGTAATGCAAGGGAGAAATTTCTAAACTAAGTTTGTAAACTAACTAATGTATGTTGATGATTGAATTATTACTTAAGCGTTGATTAACGTGCTTATTTATTATTAATGACACATAATTTAATTTATAAATTTAGTCTTCCTAACATACATTTTTTTCCAATGGTTTGTGAAATCATGGTATGGGGACAAGGGCAGTGGAGGGAGGGTGAGAGAAAAAGTTTTCCAATGATGCTCTGTTATTCCAAAAAAGTAATTATCTCGATAAATTAAAAGGTCTTCTGCAAATCCATCAAAATTTATAAATAAAGTCCATACAAATCCTTGAAAATTCATATAAAAGTTCATACAAGTTCTCTCATGATTTAACGAATCCTCTTAAATTTATCACTTTCGAAAAAATTTAAAACCTTAATTTAACTACATCCCCTTAATTTGAGACATTACAGTGTAGTATAATATCACCACATGACAATGTCAAATAGTTGTACTTACCAAATGGTTGTACTTACTAATCAAATACAAACAGGAATGCTACTTACCTTCCCCATTTGCCTTTTCCCATTTACCTTGGTAACTATCTTCTCCATTTGCCTTTTCCTATTTACCTTTCTCATTCATCACTTGACATGTGTATTTTATTAACAAATTACACCACATAATTAATGCATTAAAACAATAAATTTTAATTTTCCACCTTAAAAGCATGAAGTATATATATAGTTTAATTTGTTAGTTGAATACGTGATGAGTAAGAAAGATAAATACAAAAAGACAAATGAAAAAGGTAGCTAGCATTCATCTATACAAATGTGTGGTGGAGTGAGATGTGAACTAAAATGCTTTTTAGCCAAAATGGTCTTAAGGTTTTCATAACACATAACTTTAGTCCTTGAGATTTAAAATTAATAGAAGTAGTCCTTGAGATTATCCACCATCTATTATTTTAGTCATTCCGTTAAAAAACTCCGTTAAGTGGTCCCTGAGCTTTTAACGAAATGACCAAAATAATGGATGGTGAACAATCTCAGGGACCAAAGTTATGTGTTATGCAAAACTCAGGGACCATTTTAGCTAAAAAGACTAACGCTGATTATGTTGAAAGTTTCATGTAATGGAACATGGTTCTCTTTTTGTTAATTCTATTGATTTAGCCTTGTCTATGGATATACCATAGTTTGAACGTTCATTTCATTATATTCAAGTGTGCAAACTGTACAGTTTTTTCCAAAAATTAACGAAAGGGAAAAAGTCAAGTACCGTTTGCGATGATTTACTTGAGTTTGATGCCAAATCGTTTTTAATAATAGTTGAAAAGTTGATATCACTGCCAAAGAAATGAGAGAAAAATGGTGAAAAAGCATGTGGCAAATTTGATTTGATAAAAATGCCCTCAACTTAACAGAGTTTTTTAATAGAATGACCAAAATAACAGATGTGGTGGACAATTTCAAAAACCACTTATATTGATTTTAAATATCAGGGACCAAAGTTATGTGTTAAACAAATCTCAAGAACCATTTTATCTAAAAAGCCGAACTAAAATGAGTAATTAATATTTTATTAAAATTTTCACAGGGACGAAAGAAGGAAACTGATGAGCGTCCTCATCTGAATTCATTCTCACATTTGTACCATTCTCTTTTCTACCCAAATAAATATTAATTGTATTGATGGATGAACTAATGAAGGCCAAGGCCTAAAAAAACGAGTGAATAAGATGAGACTGATGTAATTTCCGATTAGTACTCTGTCGCCGGTGGAGCGCCAGTGACAGAGACGATATCACAAAATGAACACAATATATAGGTAGACAGAGAAGGAGGAAGAAGAAGGGACGGTGTGATTTTTTCCCGTGGGCAGATAGCAGACAGAGGATGCGGGGAGAAGGTCATATGGGCGGTTAATGAAAATTTTAACAAAATACTAACTAACTATTTTAGATGACAGCTCATTCCTCCACATGTTCATATTTGATTGGTAGTACCACCATTTGGCATTGCCACGTGGTAGTACTCTACTAGATTATAATTTCTCAATCTGCAACGGCAATATAAATACAGTCTTGAGAACATCTTCAGTAGAGTTCTTATATAGGGGCTAATCACCGTATGAAATGAGCATAAAACAAATATAGAGACAAAATAAATCTCTAATGGATCGGAAAGTAAGTTCCTTAAGTATAGGGACTCATCGGATACTTGGTGTATGTACGCACATATAGAGACTTTATAAGGACTAAAATGATGGACCTAGGATAATTTAAGTGAAAAAGAAGGCATGGATTCCAGTCACATGACCTTGTCTTTTTTTCCTTTTCTTTTCAACCGTTTAAAATAGAGGATCCAAATTGATTCTTGCTTTTCAATTTTTTTTAACATTGAAAGATTAACGGTTCAATTAAATAATCGTTTCAATTTAGGTTACTTTGGTTTTCAAATTCTTTTGTTTTCTCTTTTCATAATGCATCTCTTGAAATATTAATATTTTCAATTTAAGTTACTCTTTCATATTGTTCTCTCATCATTCTTATAAATCCCAAATTATCTAACCAAAACTTATCACAACTTCATTTCTTATACTCAGTTTACTCGTACTCTATTCATTCATTCTAGTTATGTTTTTGTGAAGAAAAAAATTAGTGTCAGAATTTGAATTTTTTTTGTTAAAATGTTCACAAAAATATTTTACGAAAATGTAATGTTAACATAAACAAAAAATGTGTACCTAATCAAATTATCATGTAAAAACCCTGTATAAACACAAGATAAGCATGAAGCCTTTAAATCTCCAACGGGCATATAAATACAGATAGTGAGATACAGACTACAGAGGATCCTTCCTTCCACTAGGTTTTGTGCCGATGCCTTTCCCTCACCTAAAGAAAGCAACGCCCTAGAACCTAGAAAGCCTCCACATTTTTTCGGCTCAGCAACGCCGCAGAAGAACGAGGTTCGCTTCCTTAACTCCAATTTTCTGCTTATCGAATTTATGAGTTTCTAAAGTCTTTTCTTTTCTTCTTTTTTTTTTTTTTTTTTTTTTTGGCCTTTTTAAAGAGCTTATTTCCTATAACAATGGTGGATTTGGATTTAGTGTTCGTTTTTTCAGATGGGTTTTGATATTTGGTTTCATCTGCAATTTTTTTATATGAAGTTGCACTGCTGTTAAAACAATTGCCTTGATTTTTTTTTACTTCTTTTCAATTTAGGTTTTTTTTTTTTTTTTTTTTTTTTTTTTTTTGGTAATTAAATTCACTGTTATTCTATCCATATGGAAACTGCAGCTTGGGATTTGAAAGTTTGAAGCAATGATTCACAAATTTCCTGAGGAAATCATACATGATATCCTGTTTAGATTACCTTCTAAACCGTTGATCAGATGCACCTCAGTGTGCAAGCCATGGAACTCCATGATAAAAAATCCCAGCTTCATACGAACCCACCTCAACCGTACAATCAATCTTAATAACCAGTTTGGCACCCACCTCCGCCTACTCCACTGTGTTCCTGGACCTTTTCTTTCCACCGACGTCAATATTAGCGTAGACAAGCCAAGGGAGGAGCAGTTCTATTTGCATTATGACAACCATGCTTTTGATGAGTACTGCAAGCTGGAATTTCCAATTTTTCCCAGGGAAGAAATGCACAATAAATTTCTTCGGGTGGTCGGCATTTGTAATGGACTGGTGTTCCTTGCTGATGATAAGGATTGTTTAGGCTACACCTTCATGTTATGCAACCCGTCTATGAGAAAGTCAGTGACCGTACCTAAGCCTCATCTTACCTTCAACACAATTGGCCCTTATTATGCTTGTATTGGTTTTGGTTTTGACGCTGCGACTAATGACTACAAGGTTGTGAGACTTATCACCGATCAATGTGTGGATCCAAATACTTTTTATGAGGTTTATTCACTTGCTGGTGGCTCATGGAGTGAGCCTCGTTCTTTGGATCATGTATGTGAAGTTAAAGATCCTCGTAAACCCCAGGCTTTTGTTAATGGAGCCATTCATTGGGAGGCATGTCGCCGTTTGAAAAATGGTGATTATGAAGATTTCATTTTGGCATATGACTTGGGCAGCGATTCATTTCGTGGGATAATGGCACCAAAGGGTTTCCATAGCTCATGGACCTCGCAGTTGTCTGTTTCAGGTGACGGGAAATCCATTGCTTTGTTTCAGCCTTATTTGACTAATACCAAAAAGCGTTGTGTTGATATATGGGTGATGAAAGAATATGGCAAGGAAGAGTCATGGACCAAATTGACAACTCTAAGTCGATCAGGTCCACAAAGAGGAGTTCGCTACAGGCCATTATGTTTTACGAAGTGTGGTGATGTAGTGTTGGTACCAATTTATGGTTTTTGGGAGTGTGAATTACTTTGTCTCGACCTTATGAGCAAGCAATTTAAAAATCTTGGAATTCATGGATATATATATTACTATGCTGAATCTTATGTTGAGAGCCTCGTCTTACTTGACAAGACCAATGCAGTTTCTTACTGAGGAGAAGAGCAGGTAAGGTGATAGCATTGGTTTTTCTTTGGTTTTCATTTTCTTCTTGTTTTTAACGCTTATACCTCCAAACTCCAACTGACTGTGACATGATATGACCATTAACAAAGTTTGTTATGCATTTGTTGCTTGAATTATTCTTGCCCTGTAATTGGTTGCTTATTTTACATTCATGAAATGGACGTTGAACCAAAGTGGTGATTGAAGATGCTTCAAAAACCACCAATGTGGGACGATTAATGATAGCAGGACATACTAGTAGTGATAACTCTAATAAATGTTATTTGCCCATGAAATCACGAGCAACTCTTCTTTCTACATTGTTGCCTTTCAAGGTGCAGACCATGTAATACTTGCTGCTTGATAGTAGCATGTTTATCCTTGCAAATTATTTACGTTTTGGATATACCTATATTGAACATTGGTTATTGTCGTCCATCAAGCACAGCTTGTTGAAGCATAATTGTATTCATTCGTCCTCCATGTAGGTCGAAAATGGGGCAGATAACCTTCATGACTTTTACGATGTCTTCTCAGTAGCTGCGTAGTGCTAGCCTTGCTGCGTAGTGCTAGCCTTTCAAGTGAATGAAGGTGTATCTTGAAGGAAGATTTGTGAAAAACATGTTCATTTAAGCAACATCAATAGCATGCAATTAACAAGTAAAGGCGGAATCATGCTTGTATGCACTTAAAAACAAAACATTTACCCATGAAATTCAAAGCCTAGTAGATAGGTGAACCAAAACTCAACTCAAAACAAAGTGAGTTGAGAAATCAATACCTTTGTAGATTCCTCTTTGCATAAGCAAAGGCTAATCACTCAAAGAGAGGGCCTTCATTCCTTGCATCTTAGATCCATGGGTTTGGATGGATGAAAAGGTTTCTCCAAGTTCCCAAAATTGAGAACCTCTAATTATTCATCACCAAGGCATAATGAAGAAGAAATGAGTGACCTTGGAGGAGTTTGATTGCTAGATGATCCCTCCAAGGTTGGCCGAAATTTTAGAGAGAAAGGAGAGCTTGTGTTCTCATCCTTTCCCCAAAAAATAACCCTTAATGAATTTTGGCTATTAAGTCAAACTTATACCTTAATTCATTTGAGTGGCAAACTTGTAAATAAGTCAAAACCCACTCCTTCTCTAACATGGCCGGCCATATGGATTTATTGGGCTATTTGGGCCTTTGTGAATCATTATTCATTAAGTTGTCACACAACTTAAGTCAATGGACTTGACGTTCGAAGCCCATTGGGCCTTAATGTCCAAAACTATCCGAGGTCTTTTAACGAACTTATTCGTTTGATTAATAATCATATTAATTAATCATTGCCATAAATAATTAAACCATTTAATTATTCTTACTCATCTCTGTTGTTTCTTCAAACTCTACCTTACTCGGTGAACGATCCATTAGGTTCCTTTTAGCGAGGCAGTGGGCGATTCAAACTCTTTCAAATTGATTGTGAATTGAAACTTACTTTCAATTCTCCCGTTAGTGATAATACACTTTTAGGGCTTCCACAAACCATGGTTGACGCCTAGCAGCATGTCATGGTTACCCAAGCTAATCAGAAGAGGTGGAGAACCTATTCAGTTTTAGGATTACAAATGCAATACGGTTTTTCTCTAATACAATACTCTTGACCACATTGTTTGGTTTGATAGTTTATTCATGTCTACTATCCAATGTGAGTCTTGTGCTTATATGATTACCTTGAACGTGATTTGGAACACATTCCTAAATCTCATTTATACTTTGGCCAAAGATTCTTAATCATATCATAGAGTATTCTCCCTCAAACAGTTTGAAGGTTAGAGATCCCTTGTTACGCATTCACTTGCCTCCATGGCTAAGTGGCTTAACCCCAACGATGCCATGGACACCCTCCTGATGGAGTGACTTTGACATAATCAAAGATTAAGGACCTAACCACAAGACAACTGTGATGCCTCAGGTCAAAAGACTAATTTGCATTATCCCAACCATGAGTTCTCAAGTGACATGAATATGAGAACTCTTCGTTGATCGTGTTCAGTGAACTCATTCTCTATTGAGCACCTACGTACTTGTCTTGATGTCACACACACCAATGACTCGAGACTAGTCACTCTTCCTGAGAGAAGACATAGCACGTACTGATCTTTACGGACTGTCAATGCCCAATTGACAATCCTATGATCAGGAACGTTTAGGATGTGTCAACGAAAGAATGGTCTCATGAATCTAACTTCTTTAGATCGCATTCTTCCAATCACATATTCCTTGGACTTATCGTTTAAGCATATAACATTTATGTGAGACGGCTCAAACAATAATTTTTGCCCTTTATATTTAAACTACATTAGTTTGAAATGTCCGTAAAGTATCATCATATGATTGGTTTTAGGGCACATTTTCAACATATCTTTCTGCTTGCTAGGAGATGTTTGGGATTTGGTAACCTTCTTATTTAACTATCTGTAATTTTGAGTTTCGACTAGAAAAAGGACATCGCTTGTAATCGGGATGTTCTGCCGCCCCTTACTGATGAATATCCTGTCACTAAATATGCTATTGGTTAGAAATAACCTTTGTCTCCCTTTAATTTGTTCGGTTTACACTGGTAGAAAAGTTGCTTATTACATTCTGCAAAGATTTGATGTTGTTTTGATCCCCTTGTTAACCCCAGCTCCGTGCTTTGGATATGTTGGTGACAAATATTTTGAGTGCATTATATCCTTTTCTTGATTACAAACCTTCATCTTGATGTCCTTTCTTGTGAAGCTTGCACCTCCGATCGCCCAGAAAAACCTTCATATCTCGATATCGTAGCTTGAATGTTCTCTATCTCTACTCTTTCCTTCAGTAAGTGTAATATACTACGCCAAAAGGTATTATCAATAACTTGAAAACCACGAGACTTGTTTATGCCCAATAGATGTTTGATCTTCAGTTTCTTAGGGTTCAATTGGAAGTGCTTTTAAAATGATTGAAAGCGTTTTTAGTGAAAATGTTTTTGAAATCAATCCTTGGTAAAAATATAAGGAAACCTAATAAACATTTTGCAATAAGCATATGACTGGTGATTCTTCCAGGAAGCACTTTTAAGTATTTTTGAAACGTAATTTTTTTTTTCTCTAAAAGTACTTTTAGTCATTTTATGAATACTTCCAAACGAGTCCTTAATTAAATTGAGGACGTGACAACCGCGAGACCTACACATAGACCAACAACAGTCATTATGGAGCTTCAAGTTCTATCGCAATGACAGTTGCACAATTTGGTCACAATGGTAAGTGTGGCTTCCATGTATCATAAAAACTGGGTTCCACATCTGCTTGATCATTAGTCTACAGGAGGTCCAGAGGGTCTAATAGACAATATAAATTGAAAGTTTGTTACCCATTTTAAAAATCACGATTCACCATAAATATGAAGGATGTAGTTAACCCTAAAGTTTTTATTAAATATCTTCTTCAAAAAATACCTTTCATATGCTTTACCATAAAGCTAAAAAAATGCTTTTAGAATCAAAGAAGCACTTCTAACTGATTAGTCCCTAATCAGTATAATAATGTTTCAAACGATAATATTACGTAATATTAAGCAAGAAAGAGTTACAAAAGAAGGGATGGCCTCGTTAGAATTTTGAATGGTGCTTTCACTTGAGTTGCAAGAAAGGAAAATTAAACACCATGAAAAACTAGGTCATATTTTTCAAAGTGAACCTATAAATAGAACAAGGATCCTCTTTCGATCTCACTGCCAAGAGTCCAGAGATTAGGCAATCCGGACCACTCAAATTAAATCTAATTGTCCCCATTAATTCATTTTGCTGGACCACTCACACAAACCAAGGACTCCAATCTCTCTTTCACATAAACTAAGGGCTTGGATTTCCTATTCTTTAGAAGGTCGATCCATATTCCTATAAACAGATGATGCAGGAATATCATCCAACGCAATCAAAACCCTAGCTTGCGGCACGCTTCTTCTCTAACACAACACAATAACGAGACTCGAGGTTTGCTCAACTCCTATTTTTGCCTCGTCGATCAAATATTGTGAGTTCTTTATGCATTATTTTTTTCTTCTTTTTCAAGAGTAGGATTTTGTTCTTCTCTTCTGTTTTAGTTTTTGTTGTAGCGACAGTTAGTTTCGTCTTCTCAATTATTGCTAGGTTATTGTTTTGTAATATATTTCCTCACTTACTGGTTACTGCTAGGTTATATAATTCCTGACTCGGTCTATCTCTATGAAATCTGCAGCCTGGGAACTGAAATTTTGAAACAATGGCTCACAATTTGCCTGAGGAAATCATACATGATATACTATCTAGACTACCGCCTAAATCTTTGATCAGATGCACCATGGTGTGCAAGGCATGGAGGTCCACGAAAAAACAATCCCAGCTTTATTCCCTCCCACCTCAACCGTACAATCTCTCTTAATAACCAGTTTGGCACCCACCTCCTCCTACTCCACTGTGTTCCTAGAGCTATTCTTTGCAGCAGCGTTAACGTTCGGCTTGACGAGCCAAGGGAGTGTTGGGGTTTAAAAATGCTTCACTACTTTGAGAGGTTTATCTCACAAAGGAGAATGTAACGCAGCGGAATTGATAGACAAGAGAAAGAAAGAATTCTCAAAGTATTACACAAGGTTTTTTATTCACTTACAAACTTAGTACAAGAGGAAACACTCAAACACTCTTAGAAGCTTTGTTGCTTCTTCTTACTTCTTACTTGACACTCTCACTTCTTGCTACTTGCTCTCTCTTGGTTGTTACAAATGGTGTGGATGCCTTCTCCTTTTATAGGCATGGATGGAACCTTGGAGAAGCATGAAAACATTATGCTAGAGATATCTAGATAATTCTACTACCTTCCTAAGCTAGAATTATCTACACTAATCTTGTATGTTGGTGGAATCCTCACCATTCTTCTAGACTCTTCCACCAACTTGAACTTTGCTAGAATTCTCTAGCATGTGCATGGATCTTTCTTTGTGTATGGGCCGGATCAATTATCTTTGGGCCAAGACAAGATTACAATTCAACAGGGAGAAGCATTGCAATTTGCACTATGACAACCATGCTTTTGATGAGTACTGCAAGCTAGAATTTCCTTCCCAAGATGAATAAATATCTTCGCGTGGT